GTACAGTACAGACGTTTTCAATTGAGCTTCTACGGTTTACACTCTTTAAAAGATTCTCAGTCTCCACAGTGGCGGGTTCCACCAGTTACACTATACCATAACCAGTCGTAGTGCCTCCGCATTCATGGGATTACAATACACCACTACTAGGACACCCTCCAAAGCGGCGAGTAGAATTACTTTCGCTCCGGCCAATGATATGCTCTTTCCTCTATTGTCGCGGAACGGGGAACCATTTTTCCGGTGGGCGACACCGTTTTCGAAAGTGCCGAATGGAAACTGCCACAAGTGTCCGAGCTGGGCATACAGTACTTTTGATTCACCGATCGAAGCCCGGGCCAGATCTATCATGTTAAATAGTTTAGATTCCGTAGGCGTCGGATTGCCCGAAAATCCAAGCTCATATCCTCTAAACCATCACCCACGGTGCAATTACATTGTCTAAATCCTCGATCATGGCCAACTACACGCGTCCCGGATTGCTCATAGAAATCCCAGCAGATTTAGCTCTCGATGTGCACATTTCTCAAAGAACCCGGCAAGTCACGGCAGATGAGATATACGGAATCTGCGGCAGTGCATATCCCCAATGTGGTCGACAAGGGAGTGAATCGCGGATATATTCTGTGAGCACAATATCCATTGAGTTCAATCATAGGAAATCTGAGCCTCTAGAACATGTTTCGAACTCAGATGTGGCTGAACAACTAGATGCCCTTGGTTTTCGCCACAACACAATAAAACTATATGGTGAATGGTTGAAGAAGCACTTTGGCGCTGAAATTTCAGTTGACGAAATTCAAAAAGCTTGCGACGCCGTTTTAGAAAACCATTACGACCTTGCACAGCTCTATGAGGATCGAAATCTAGATTTCTTTTCTGAAAGCGGTGTCGAACTCGAAGTTGCTCGCGTTTTCACTGACTTCGTCGAATGTTGGGTCAATGACTGTTATTGGCGTGCTGATCAAATAACTAGATGTGGTCGGCGTTCGTTATATATACGGCACAACGAGATGCCATAGCTCGCAGTTATTCGTTACTTGTGTCATTGGGCTACAACATCGTTCCAAAATTGGCTAGAACTCTACATCCTGACTTCCTAGTACGATAAGGACCACATAAGTCTGGGCACCATGTAATGAAACAACCTAGTAATGAAACAGTAGTTTTTACGCGCACCAGAGTGATACAATCATGATTTGCTTATTCTACAGACTCATTAGTACTAAATTGATGTATGAATGGTGCCAGTGTGTCATCCAAGTGTCTATTCCGCGTATGATTTCTAGTATTTAACTGCACAGTAGACCTCGCTGTCGCCTCTAAGGCCTCCATACCCTGCCTAGCCTGCCTAAGCGTCTCAATGCTCGCAGAGACCGTATTACAGTCGATTGCTACTCGCGGTTGTCTCCAAGTAACTAGCTCATCTAGTTGTGTACGCTGAGTAGCAAGTTGTTGTGATTTTAGCGTAATATCCCACTGTAGCTTATCTAATACCTTGCCGGTTTTTCGAAGTAGTAAACGGACTGGTCGAGAAATGGTCTCACGCTGTGAAATTTACTTCGTTTCCTGTCGTATTTGGCGTTGATTTAAAGGCGTACGAATAGTACTTAGTTGACAACGAGGGAAGTCTGTCATGTCGAAAAGGCACGCTCAGAGGTTGTGAGATATGCGGAAGTGGTTCAAACACTTGCAACATCTAGAGTTGGATCTCAATCCGTGAGATGATACAGTATCTCTGTTGTGAATTATGACAGTGGAAGCAGATATTCATTATTGTTATTTTTCTACTCTCTCAGAATGTAGAGAGTGTAAATACACTATGGTCCATTGTCGATGTATATGCCTCTTGTCCACTTGTCATTCCCTCGTAGACCCAGAGAGAGGAGCGAGGGAGTCGTGATATTCGGCGGTGGAAAGTGAGGAAGAAAAGATTGCCGCATTAGGACTGGGGGATTACCCTTTGGGAAGTTCGTGCCCCAGCGCGCATAGCCTCGTTGTGGAAGTGACAAATATTAGCAGCCCCCGAGGCACCAAGCGGCTTGTCATGGATGCAAATGCTTTGAATCCACCCGTGTTCTCATCGAGCTCTGTAGGTGTTACCGTGGCCGAACTTCTCATCCACAGCCAAGGTGTGGCGTATCTACCAGCCTCATTGTTCGGCGGGCGAGGGATGAGGCTGAGGGCCGTTGATCACATGTGATCCTGTTGACAGCACACGCATGGCGGTCTAGCTACTCCGAGACGTAACAGCCGTCCCTGTGCTCGTCGTCTTGTCCTCCGCGCAACTACCATCCATTATAGTTATCTAGCAGGCCTGGAAAACATGTCCCCCCAGATATGAATGGGCACACCGAAGCCGCGCCTTACCAGGAGCGGAACGAGAAGCTCTACGAGGAGTAAGTGATGAATCAGGCTGCATTTTCGACTAACATCCTTCAACCTAGGTGGTCCCAAAGTGAGCGAATCGAAGTCTTCGTGGGCCCTGATGATGGCGAGGAAGAGAGGTTTCTAATTCCGCGGGACCTCATAGCGAAACGATCTCTGTATTTCCGCGAGCAAGTAGCTCGGGGCCCTATACTCATCCTCCGAGACGTGTCGCCCACGGTATTCCGAAGATAAGATTTTATCGCTGGTGCCTTAGCCCCCATCCCTCCATCGAGCCTCATGTCACACAAGAAGACGTGGAAGGTCTGGCATTGCTTGCCTATCAATATCAAGTGTCTGAACTTGGGAATCAAGCGGCAGACTGGCTTGAAAAGATGTATACATCTAGACAATAAAACCTCCGGCGCGAGATGATCCGGCAGGTGTACCAGGAATGTGACGATTCAACTAGCTGGCTTCGGCAGTTGGCTCGGGAGATGTTAAAGACCATACTGGAGGACCGGAGATCGAACGAAGTCAAGGGCTGGCTCGAGCTGGTTCAGGCCAACTGCGACTTCGCCAAGGACTACTGTGAGGTGTTGACGCATCGATGGAGTCTCCGAGATATCGCTAAGGGGGAGGAGTGTCGATTTCATGACCATACACAACAAACCCTACCAGACGAACCTGGACAAATGGAGTTGGCGACAAGAGGGTTATTTCCGTCGTCCTGTCCTTTTCGAGGATGGGGTTGTTTCCCGGACGTCGCCACAAATGAGGCGCTTACATGTAATTATTGGGACCGGATCAAGATGTCAAAGAGGGTGAAGAAGGAAAGGAAGGAGGAGAAGAGGAAGAGAAAGTCAAGTAAGGTGCCTTTAATCACTAGAGGACCAGTCGCAAATGGAGAGCTAGTTGCATGGGAAGAACCAGTACCAGAAGAACCAGTACCAGAAGAGCCAGTACCGGAAGAGCCAGTACTAGAAGAGCCAGTACTAGAAGAACTAGTAGAAGTGCCCGTGACATGGGAAGAACTAGCGGAAGTGCCCGTGTCATGGGAAGAACTAGCAGCAGTGGCAGAAGAAGTAAAAGAAGGCGGATGGGAAAATCTTAGAGCTTGATATCGCTAATAACCAGTTAGCTGAGAATAACGAGACGGAAATGTGTATCTCAAGTTCGATCATTTGGGGCTACTTCTCGCCGCTTTTCACACTCTCGCTTTCACTTCGTGACTCCCCCTTCTTCGGTCTCGGTTCGACAGTGGTCGTGCTGTTGCCGGCACTAGGGCATTCGCATAGATATATCAGACTGGACAGAGACTTGTTTAGTGAATGAGAGGTTGTTACTTATATCATATCCACAGTCGCGCATGGAAGCTCACAAAATAGTCCGGCGCTAAGCGACTTCCAGGGGAGCTTGTGTTGCTGACAAGACCCTACACTCCGACTTATTTACGCTATAGGATTACTGGCGCGCCGTACTCAGGGGATGCGTGGCTTTTTATTTCCACTCAAGTTGCTACCTTGCAGAGAATTTCACAGGTTATTGATGTCAAGGACGCGTTATTTGTTTCACTTGATGCAGAATCGGCTGTTCTAGATCGATTTGCTAGCTATTATATATACAAGAAGAGAACAGGAGCCATAGAATAGAAAACAGAGACAATTTTGGCATCCATGAGCTGCATATCGAGGGGCAGGACACGATGGCATAACATTGTTCCGCGCCAAGCCCTGCACCCTTCTCCCCGCCATCACCTACTAGTCGCGGGGCGAGGATATGAAATAGACGACGCCATATTTTTTTAATTCGATTACGGTTAAGTGAAAAAATAACTTGGAAATCGAGTTCGCGGTTTTTGTGGTTGACAACAACAACGCGACCTTAGTTACCGGCGCAACAGTTGTGTGTTGTGGAATGATGTCATTTGCCAAGCCCGACCCATTTCTCACGAGCCGGAGTTTATCACCCATCATTGTTCCATCAAGTTCTGAAATCATCCTTTAGTCGCCAGAATGGCGCAAAGCCTTCAGACAGCACCTCGGGCCCGCGAAGCATACGGTGCGCCCCGGCATCCGTCTGATCCTCTTGTCTTGCAACCGTCCCCACGCCAGATCCGGTTCCTGCACCCTGGCTACCCTGACGAGCACTCCCTCCTGCTAGTCCTTCCTGCACTCGACAGTCCGAACGGCATTCATCACCAGACAGCCTTGGATGCGTGCGCCATTGTGGCGGATAGTCGATGGGATGGCTTCTTCACCCTCGATCGACAGGGCGCCGAACGCGTTTCCACCGATGACATGGGTGTCTCCTTAGCCGGAGACGCGTATTACTTTCAGGTCCCTGGAAGCGATGGCGAGTATCTTGAGACTATGTTACTGGCCAGGAACTGACACAATTAAGGCATTGACAAAGACTACCCTGTTGTCCCTACTTTTGCTGAGTGGAGGTTCCCTCACACCGGTCTTCCTACGCGCTGGCTTCGCGATCCTATCTTTGACGCGAACAGCACTCGACGCTGCCTCCTTTCGAATGCGGTCAGTCTCCCGGAGACTGCTCATATTGTCCCTCAGAATCCGGCCGATGAAGAGTGGTTCAACGAAAACGGGATGGCCATATATGGGCCACTCCACAGCAGCACAAACACCATGAGATTCAAGGTAGACGTGCATCAGTACTTTGATCGCAAGCCCAAGTTCGTCATCGTTCCGAAATACGACAAAATGGTGGTGCACATATTCAATTGTCAGTCGATCGAGGCGCGCGAAGCCATCGAGCTTTTCCACAATGTTCCGGTTGCCATCACTGAGCAGAGCTCACGATTCCTGTTGGCACGTCTCGCCTGGACCATCTTTCCGCTGCTTGAGACGTTCTTGAGGAAAGGTGTGAAACGACGCTTATTGCGCAAGACAGACGACGGCTTCGTAGTAAGAGAAGAGAATGCACACAGTTGCACCCAAGCCTGGTTATCCGCCAGACCGCGCAGTGCAAGCCCCTCGAAGCGACCTCGAAATAGCAATACTGAGGCGCAGGATGCCCCTGGCTCGGACTTCGAGGGCTTAGGTGACTGGGAAGAGCGGATAAGGGGACGCAAGAGACGGCGCCGGTCTTCGGAATATGGTACACTGGACTCTCAATCCACCGACAGCAATGACTACGTCAGTTCTGGCAGCGAGGTGTCTGAATCTCGCGACGCAAAGCTGCTTCAGTGCCTTAGAACCTAAACCTACCCTTAAATGGTGCACTCTTTTATTCTACTGGTCAAATTTCGATGAAGAGCTCCTCCTGATCAGTTGAACTGTCGGAGTGGGACGGCACGGGCTCCTTATGCTCGCTGTGAAGCACATCTCGAAGACATCCTTATGATCACCGTAGAAGATATGGCGCCGTGCGTCGTGTGCTTTGACGAATAACATCGGTCAGTACTTCTGAATACCTGGCGGGAGTGTCTTTGTTAGGTGAGACCGATGGCATGGAGTAGGATGCGTACACAGCAAGGTCAGGTCTTGGATCGATACTATGGTAATAAGAGATAAGTCCGAGCTAGCGTAAACCTGAAATTTAGATGTCAACCCTGCTGCTTAAGGTATCGACTGGGACCTCTTGTTCTAGTGCTGGTGAGAGATGTAGTCATCGTGTTCATTATCGAAACCTCTCACGCGAGAATTAACGGTGTCTAAACCGAGCGACGGATCATTATGACACGTTTAAGATAATTCTACGTCCTTAGTGGGCGTCTTACAGTCTTACACCTACCTGGACTTGGTCTATCTCTTGAAATCTGTCGCTGAAGATTTCATAGAAAATACTACATCATAATGGATAAAATCCCTAAGGATTATGGTGATCCCACTAGTCTTGTGGATACTATGTCGCTTTTACACGCGCGCACGCGTCCCTTCTGCACATAGACTGGGCTTGAAGTCATCCTCTACTGCAAGATTCGCGTTCCTTTTTATTTAGCAGCGTCGAGCCACTCTTCCACATTTGAAGCTTTGCAAGTTGATTCATATTAACAAGAACACATGGGTAGCCAAGATGTTAGGCCTAGATCCTACATTCACAACCGTCTTCTCACAAGATGATAACTTCAGTCGCAACGGCTAGGTTTCATTCTTGCAGAGTAGCTTTCCTGCACGGTAACAAGATCATTAGCCGATTTCTAAGGGTGAACTATACCACATAAGCTAAGAGAAAGGAACCAGGGAGGATTCATCTCCCTGTTCAAGATACTAGGCTCTGCAAATGGGTATGCGTAAGTGTTGAAAGTGAGGGCAATCAGCCTCATGACAGCCTCGTGGCAGCCTTGCTCAGGGAGTCTGCCTATCGTCACCCCAGGTGACGATAGCATACTCTGCTGCCTAACAAGAGTGTGCTGTATTTAATACACTCTTCTACACCGTCGAGTTATAGACTTATTCACCGAGACTGCAATCCCTTACGAAGTTCGCCTTTCTCCAAGTCAGTTCTCTTCGGCGCTCAAAGGAGGGTTTGCGAGTATCGAGCACGCCTTGGGGAAGAGTACCGCCGTCTTCAACGTGGTATCGAAAACGATCACCGTCTACGGTTCTCACCAACAATACGAGAGAGCTATTCAGATGTTGGATCACAAAGATCATGCCAGGAGCCTTTCGTCTGATTTCGCGGCCAGCTCCGAAGAATGTCCCATTTGTTTTGACAAACGTGACACTCCCGTGCAGATGTCGTGCAGGCATCGTTACTGTCTCGATTGCTTTGAGAACTGCTGCTTGTCTGCAGCGTCGACGAGCATGGATGGCTTTCAGATCAATTGCTATGGCGATGGAGGGGCATGCTCTACTATATTTACCTTAAAGGAGATAGGAGAAGTCCTCCCTTCAGCGACTTTAGGGATATCCTAATCTCATGACGGCTTCGTGTACATCGGATGGAGGAGATTAGCCAATCATTTACATATTAGCTTAAAAAATATCCATGAACAAGAAAAACGTCATCGCTTTGCGTAGTGATCCCACAGTAACAGCCATACTTTATAGCTCAGCTATATAGGCGTCGTTGCGAGGTCTTCATGCACTCATCCTAGAAGTGGCGGTATAGTTAGAAACGGTATCGTACAGAATGGCAAGCCGATTATTGGTTGCTTCGGCCTGGGCGCAGCTAACCGAACACAGCTAGCCGAGGGGTCATCACTTAGTTGTGGATACATTGACTTTGTTACAGATTGTGAATCATGGAAGTTTGAATTGCCAACGTCTGGTACACCCAGCAAGAAGTTCTGAATGCAGTACTCGAGTTTGCGGAAGCGTCCCAAAGATTTAAATCACGGGTTCCGGCGACTGCGCCGAGGGTATGACATAGGCTGTAGCGAGGCACAAAGTTCGCACATGTAAGATAGTTCCACTGTAAAGATAGGTCGAGAGACAAACTCAGTAGGGTAGCCCTATATATCCCATGGGAGAGGTCAGGCGTAATTGAATTTCCTCCTCCTCCCGTCTGTACACCCAGCACTCTTTATTCAGCCCCCAGATTTCGCACCTAACTCAACCATACAACTGTCCAGCTTCCTAGATCTGAACGTGCTCGACGTGACTTAATACATCCAACCGCCATTAGAGTCAGGGGTGGCCCTAGAATTCCAGTCGAGCCCCGGCACGGAGCCCTTCCTCCTTGAACGCGCGCAAAAGCTCTCTCACGGTAACAAGTCTAGTTCGAGCCTCCGGGGTCGAAGCCTCCCACATAGTTTTGCTACTGACATGTTTACACTCGTGACAGATTTGTAGGAACGATTCTAAGAGTGTCGGAGCCTGGTTGGCTTGGATCGAGTAGACGTCATCAAGGATCAAATACGACATCCTCGCTGCCTGCGGCTCGGTACTGACCGCTCCATCTGCGACGCCTGTCGCCAAGCCGAGAGGCGCCATTTCGTGCTCGTGCCCAAGCGAATGGTCCGCGCCGTTGATCCCCGGTTGAGGAGATCGACGCCACAGGACCAGTTGACCAGGGGGGATCTCGCTATCCGATTCAGAGGCTGGGGCACCACACATTCGTTGCACGAGGCCGTCTCGAGATGCGAACGGGTGCTCATCATCTTCAAGCATATCTGTCGTACCCACATCCTCGGGGACGCTGTCAACTGAGGTGGGTTCTGTTGGATCCCGCGTCCTCGTAGAAGGCTGCCTGGGCGATGACGAGGGATGGGGATTCCCATCTCCGACTCGAGGGCCACCAGAGGACGGCGCTGGTTCGAGTGTCGGTGCCAGACCTGCATTTTCCTGGGCCGTTGTTGGTTGGCTTGTGGAGCTGGATTTAGGGAAAGTCGAGCCGGAGGTATGAGAGGTGTGTTTCCCCGGGTTTCTCCCTGGAGTCGGGCGAGCCCGTATATTACACTCTTCTGCCACGCCATGAGGCCCTGATCGCGAGGGAGAGATAGTAGTGGGGCGGTCTGGTGACAACACTTGACCGGCCGGTGGTCCGGGTTGAGTTGACGACCCTGCTGAAATCCGGTCTTGGGGCCGAGGGTCAAGCGTATCCAAGTGACGACTGCCTTCTGGAGCATCTGCAACGACTTGGCTTAGTTAGAATACAGTATCCTAGTTGCGCGTTTCCGAACTTACAGGCTTTATCACCCTCCCCCATAAGCTTCTTCTCCTTCTTTGCCCCTACATCAAGCTGATTTCGGCGCTGGCGCTTGAGGACGGCTATAAGTTTTGGCTTGATTTTATCTTCTTTATCGTCATGGAAAAAGGGGCCACGTCCTTTCTGCGACCAGATCTCACGTCCCTTCAATTCCAGGAAGTCATCCACAATCTTTGTGATTTGCTCATCGGAAATACCAGCAAACTGCGGCCCCGGAAAATATTTGGACCAAAAGCCCATCAGCATCTTGGAAAAAAATGCGGCGTCTGTGAATCCCAGCTCGCGAGCAAGTTGGGAGATATTTGGATGGCGTTTGCGCTCCTTTCTCTGCGACATCTCACCGGGGCGTGGCGGCAGAAGAGGAAGTCAGGACCTGTGCTGAGTACAACCGAACTTGAAGAAGCTGGGGAGGGAATAAAGCAGAGGATCGGTGGCTCCTTTAAATACCCTATCTTTTGTCCCGGTCGATTCAGCGAGGATGAGGGTCACGTCAGAGCATTCTCAGCGGCCTGGAAAATACGGAAGAATCAATCGTAACGCGTTGGGGGTCGGCGACTGCGACAAGCGGTCGTGACTGCTGAATCGGCCCCGGCTAAGCACGCGGTACTTGGGCGTTCGATTAGTCCGTCGCTCGAACGGGGCGATGGTGCTACGAGTGGTAGTCAGCGACGTCGCGATCGGCCCTGTGCTCGAGCAGAACGTGGACCGCATCCGTCTGTTCGGTGAAGAGCGCGTAGTGGAGAGGTGTCCGACCTAAGAGGTCCCGGCGATCGTGCCGACTCCGACTTTGAGGAGCCGTCGGAGCGTATCCGTATCACTTCTGATGATGGCCCAGAAGACTGCCGTCAATTCATCACGCTCGGCATATTCGAGGTGCTCCGATCCGATGTACATTTTCACCCACGGCGTAGAACAGCTTTCATTCATCACGGCCAGCATGAGCGGGGTGGCGTCCCAGAGACCCGCGCTGAGGGACGGTTGACCACGTGGGAGTTGTACCACCACGTCGTCCGGTGACCCACGAGTACTGGCGAGAGAAAGGAGTGTGTGCCCTCCCTTGTCCACCCGATTGATCCCCGAGACTTGATGGTCCACCAGACATTGGATGACGAGCGTTGCGGACGCCATCACGGCGAGGTGGTAGGCATTCCGCCCCCTCTGTCTAGCACGGTAGCACATTCAGGGTTTTGAAGATAACTCGACAATCTAGTGTTGTCTCTTGGAGGCGGCGAAACGGAAGAGTTGGGAGGCGCTCGAGCGATCCGGATAGCAGCCCTCCAACGCCAATTCGGCCAAAGCGGTCGAGGAGACCCGCAACCGCAACACCGCGAGGTTTAGCAGGGTGGGATGGCCGCGCATCACCCGGTACACGATGACCAGCTTCAAACATAATGACGCTTCATCGGAGGCCGTGAGAGGGTGCCAGACGCCCCCGTCGGCGCCTCGCTTCACCATCTGTTGGCAATGGTGATATACCGACTCAAAGCGGGCGGAAATCGACAAATTCCTCTGCTGTCGCACAGGTTCGCGCAGCCAGTCAGCCATAGGGTCTGCGTCTTTGCAGCCGGTGGGCTCGAGGAGAACCTGTCGCAGCGGGAATTTGGGGTCGAATTCGCCCGTGCCGTCCCTTGTGGCGCCGGCGCGAGATCGTGCGCGCTAGACCCATGGCACGGTACATTACTTGGGCTGGTAGTGATCGTTTGTCGGGCTGTCTCTGTCCATTTAAAACTGCTATACCGCGTGATAGGCATGCTTTAACATTTTCTTCTGAGTCCTCTCCCATAAGGTGATGCCTTGACCGAAACCCTCACGACGAATGCGGGATGAATCGAGAGCCGTATTGGAAGTTTCTTCGAATGAAAGGTAGTCCCGTCCATCCCCCTCAAAGCCTCCTGAATCTAGCCGTGCCCCATAAAACCTCAACGAACGAAACCCCCAACCTCGTGTCAAGGGATATTTCCAAGGTTGGGCGATAGCCATGAGCTCGTCGTGTAAGAGACCACAAAGACCGGACCTCCTTTGCCGATGGCACAACGACCAGCGGGAGGGAGCGAAGTTGAGGCATTGGCTGGAATCCGCAACAGAAAGATATCGAGCGGGTCAACGTTTCATGGGATCAGGAGGTGGCCGGACGAGATGACACTCCAATGATAAATGCCAAGAGTAACTTGGCGCTATTTCTGTAGGCTTTTCCCCTCTTCGATATTTATTATCTCTCACCGTGCTGTACCCTCTGCCCGTACTCAGCTTATTTGGGGCTGAAGTTCCTCGCCGCGTCAGAGTCCGTTCGCCTTCTACGCAGTAAGATCCCGACCAAATATCATTCCCACGGTGGAACTTTGTCTGCAGCCATCTGTCACCATCTTTTCTAAACCGAGCTCGGATATGGCGTCGATCAACGTACAGCCTCGCTTTCGGCGACTTCAAACGATTGAACCAGACTACTGTTCTAGCAAGATCACTCAATATGAATCCGGACGGACGGGATTAAGGATCGTGGTTGTTGATCAGCAAGGTCCTGGTCTTTTTGGATACTTCGTCCTCGCCACCGAGATTGATGATGACTCTGGAGCGCCCCATACTTTGGAACACCTTTGCTTCATGGGTTCGAAGAGCTACAAATACAAAGGCTTTTTGGACAAAGTGGCCACTAGAGCATACTCCGCCACAAATGCCTGGACAGGCACTGACCACACGGCATACACCTTGGAGACGGCTGGTTGGGCAGGCTTTGCTCAGGTCTTGCCTGTCTACCTCGAGCATGTGATCCTTCCGACCCTGACTGATGCTGGTTGTACCACCGAAGTCCATCATATTGACGGCACCGGCAACGATGCTGGTGTTGTCTACTCAGAGATGCAAGGCGTACAAAACACGGCATCTGAACTGATCGAGCTACGGGCGAAGAGGCTTCTATATCCTGAGGGGGTCGGCTTCCGCTATGAAACTGGTGGTATGATGGACCAGCTTCGCGTTCTCACCGCTGAACGAATTCGGCAATTTCACCACGACTTGTACCAGCCCCAAAACCTTTGTCTCGCTATTTTCGGCGAAGTCGATCATGACCAGTTACTGGACATTATGGATAGCTTCGAGTCATCGATTTTGAGCGATCTCCCGAGCCCGAATACTCCATTCAGTAGGCCATGGATCGAGTCTAAGCCTGCACCCCCCTTGAAAACGTCCACTATCGAAAGAGTAGAGTTTCCAGAGGAGGATGAATCTTTCGGTGAGATCGACGTGCGCTTCCTGGGACCGGATTTTGCGGATGTGATATCGACGGGGGCCCTCAACGTGGCACTACTCTATCTCGCGGGGTCCTCGGCTGCGCCACTTGGCAATGCGCTGGTAGAAAAGGAACACTTGGCCACTGCGGTGCACTATACGCTCAACAGGCGCCCACGTACCGAGATTGCGTTTACTCTGTCGAGTGTTGCGACTGGACGACTTGAAGAGGTCGAGAAGAGATTCTTTGAAATCTTGAGGGATGCAATGGAAAAGCCTCTAGACATGAAAGTGATGAAAGACTGCATAGACCGGCAACTTAGAACCTCCAAATACAGCGCCGAATCCTCCCCGACCTCATTCGCCGGCTTCATAATCGCCGACTATCTCTTCGGAAATCGTGATGGAACAACGTTGCAGAACCTCCAGTCTCTAAAACAGTATGGCGCCGTGCTTGAGAGCTGGTCCGAGGATTCATGGAAGCGATTCATCCAATCCTACATTTCGGACGCTCCCCATGTGTCCATCCTTGGTGTGCCATCCGCCCGGCTTTCCGAAACACTAAAAGTCGACGAAGCTAAGCGTCTGGAGGAGCAAAAGGAGAGGCTCGGGCCGGACGGCTTGAGGGAGATGCAGGCAAAGCTCGATGCCGCAAAAGCAGAAAATGACCGTCCAATCCCCCCGGAATTGTTGTGCTCATTCGAGGTCCCATCCACTGAAACGATCCATTTTGTCAGCACTTCGCCTACTCGATCAGGATTGGCATTGAAGATAGGGAAACCCGATTCCAGGCACCAGAAAGTCGTTGACGACGACGCCAAAGATCTCCCGTTGTTCTTGAACTTTCAGCACATTCCCTCGAATTTCGCTCGAGTCGAGCTCATGGTCTCGACAGAAAACCTTCCAGATGAACTGCGTCCACTGCTGTCGGTTTACATGGAGTCATTCTTTGGTTTGCCTTTAAGACGAGGGAAGGATATCATCCGTTTCGAAGACGTGATACTTGAGCTTGAGAGGGATACCGTTAGTTATGCCATCGATTTAGCCATCAAGCTAGGGAATGTTGAAGGACTCCACATCAGCTTCCACGTGGAGATTGAAAAGTACAACGTGGCTATCCGCTGGCTGAGCGAATTTCTTTACCATGCGGTGTTCGATGAGGAACGATTGAAGGCGATCAATACTCGGCTCTTGGCCGATGTGCCCGATGCCAAACGCAGTGGTGACGGCATGCTGACAGCAGTGCACTTCATGACACATCTGGCTCGAAAATCGATCCGACGAGCCAGGAGCCCTCTCGTCAAGGCCCTATACCTGAAGTGCATCAAGCGGCTTCTTGAGACCGATCCGGATGAGGTGGTACGTCGCCTCGAACAACTCCGAGGCTTTTTGTGCAAATTTGAGAATTTTCGGATCTTGGTCGTTAGTGACTTGGACAAGCTCGAAAGACCTGCCAGTTCCTGGGCATCGTTCATGGAAGGTCTGAAGGCGACCGAGGAATTAGCACCTATCGGCAGGCAAATCGAACGACTCAGTGAGGCGGGAAAGAATACTGACGGATTAGTGTATGTCGTGCCACTGCCGACGATTGACTCTTCTTTCGCGTATGCGATTGCTAGAGGACCTACGGCATACGAAGATCTCCAAACTCCGCCCATGATGGTCGCGGTAGCTTACCTGAATGCGGTTGAAGGGCCATTGTGGGCTGCAGTGAGAGGCACGGGTCTAGCGTATGGTATCAGCGTGAGCCATGACATTGAATCAGGCTTCGTTATCTTACATGTATCTCGATCACCGGATTCATATAAAGCATTCCATGCCAGCGGGAACGTCGTCCGCGCACACATTACAGGGGAGATTGAGTTTGATCCTTTAATGCTCGATGGAGCGATTAGCAGCATAGTAGTTAAATTCGCCGACGAGCAACCCACGCCGGCATCCGCTGCCGTATCAAACTTCATCCAGACTGTCGTGAAGACCTTACCGGAGGACCATCAGGAAAACCTACTGAAAAAGGTCAGAGGCGTCACTGTGGAAGATATAAAGCAGGTCCTCGACACCGTGGTTTATGACCTCTTCAGGCCAGGGAAGGCCAATGTTCTCGTGACATGTGCACCAGCGCTGGAAGAAGTAAGTTCTTATCCTAGTATCACAGAGTTATCAGCCAACGAATATAAATCTAGGCTATCTCGGACGGGTTAAAGGGGGAAGGCTTTCCCCCGGAGATCTACGCGCTGGACGATTTCCAGGATGACTATGGCCTCAAGCCGGTGATCGGGGATGACGGGAAGGATGGTGGTGCAAACGTTCGAGACGAAGACGAGGATGATGGAAAGTTTAACTTAGGTTAGCCTTAGAGGATCTTCTCCCTTTTATCCTAGCGTTACTGGTTGTCGAAATAAATAGCAAATCCCTTACTCTACACCGAACATCAGTTGTTCTTACTGTAAGGGCCCTGTTGTAGAGGATTGCGTGTGCTTCTCGAGTTGCAGTGATGGAATTTGAGCTCACGTGACGTGCATCCCTACTTCCCCGCCTCATCTTCCACCTAACCTTTCCGCAAGCCAGTGAACCCTGTTACATTATCTGAGTGCTACAGAACCTCCTTTGGCTCGTGGCTGGCCGTGATCTCTCTACGCAGAGAGGGAAGGTAGTGGAGACGGTCGTCACCCTGCCTTGGACCTAGCTCCGGGCGTTCAATTATGTCGTACATGTCGTTCTTTAGTTTGGGATCTGTTACGGTGGGATGGTCGTTGTGCTTTCTGTCGGAGGACGCGTACCCCAATCGTCAAAGTCTTTCTTACTCGTAGAAAAGCCGTCCAGTGGAA